TGCAAACTTTGACGGTTTTTGTTATGTCATACCGATATCATATATTCTTATATTTATGGATGGTAACCGGCTGATATACGACACATGGTAAGTGATTGTTATAAACTTATATCGTGTCCAGAAAATGGTTAATTGTCATCAACAAAAATATAAAGAAAAAAGGCGCTTTATTTGTTTTATAACAAATTCAACAATATCAGACACTATCGTAAGTATGTTACATCTTCGGTCATAATATTCAAAACAATAGATGAAATTCCTTCATTAATAAATAAAAAAATTATTTAACCAGTTTTGAAATACTTTCGTTTTTGTTAAATGCAGCTAAAACTCCTAAGAAAAAAAATCCACCGTTGTAGAAATTCATGTCAAATCTAAATTTATGCTAAACTATAGTACGATTTAACAGTGGATTAATTTCAACATAACGTGCTTATCAGTGGCTTAGATCCATGTTTTCGTAAAATTCACCATTGCCATAATCATCATCACCCTCGTTGCCGCCGCCGTCATGCTCCTCCGATTCCTCGTCCTCCACCTCATCATCGTCATTATCATCATCATCGCCATTATCATCATCGTCGTCTTCATCATCATCATCATCATCGCCGTCCTCTTCCTCCCCATCATCATCATCATTATCATAATCCATCGTCGTCGTCATCATCAAAATTATCATCATCATCGTGTGCATCATCATCATCGTCTTCGTCATCCTCATCGTCCTCCTCCTTCCCATCATCATCATAATCATCATTATCGCCGCCGTCGTGGTCGTCGTCGTCGTCATCGTCCTGATCCATATCAACATTCTTATCGGTTTATGCAACCAAGCATTTATCAAAAGTTGCAGGTATGTATTAGTTCAAGTGGCCTAAATCAAGTCAAGTGTTTCTTATTATATTACAATTTTCTTATCACTGATCTGAGAGCTAACAGTAATATTTCTAAAATTAAATCCTGCTTTTTTGTATACTAAAATAACACACTTTCAGCAGGAAAAAAACAACACAACAAACAAGTAAGAATATTCATTTTGATTGATTGGTAAGGTAAAGAATTTTTCAAAACATTCCGATTAAAGACCAATTAAGCCCACGAATGCTAATATTTGCATTTCTCAAAAGCTTTCTATTCTTGTCTCCGAAAAATGACTCATTGTCTTTATAGCTAAATCGTCGCTTCCTTCTTATTTGTACAGTTGGGGTTATTTCGTATTTTTATAAAAGTCAAAATACCACTTTGCTCACGTTTTGCTACCTTTTTGTTAAATTTTTCCACATTCAATTTAACTTTTCCCCGTGATAAGCATCTAATATCATTAACACAATTTAAACATTATTGAACATGTTTACCCTTTTAAAGTCGAAAGATATTATTCATTTCTGTGGCATACATCTCCTTTAACATTTTAAATATTCATACCTTTCGTTAACATTTAAGAACCTTTAAGGTTGATATTTTATAGACATTTTCGTCAATGAGCCATGACTTATATTTTCAGCAGTTTCATCACAGTGACCTATTTCTTTTATATGTTTACATATTTGATTTGCTCATGTTTTTGTAAATTATACAAACTGAGTTATTTTAAATCAATTGAATTGAATTGTTTTAACTAAATATAACTTACTCAAAGTTTTTTGTTGTTAAGAAAATAAAAAAAATGGATCGGATATCAACGGCCGAACCATTAATATTTATCATTGTCATTAATTACATGTAATCAACCATGGTTTATACAGTGCATAAATAAAATGAGCACATTCTCATTTTAAAGAATATTATGTTAGAAATACATTATTACACACTTTTGTATATAAACAAAATCTGTAATATAATGTTATCTGTTAAAAGCAAAAATTAACAAACATAAGAAATAGTTAGCAAAATATAAAAAATATACCATATTTTAAAGAGAACTGCTGCTTTTGATTGTTCGTGTTACAATTTGTTTAGTTATTTTTCCAGATATGTAAAGACAACATCACGTGAGCATTTTGATGTAGAGAATTTCTGAGGTGTCGTTTATAGATAATCCAAGCTCAGTCTAAACATCTTTTTTACTGAACTAAAATTTTTAAAACTTTACAATTTTGAGCTGCGAAGAATTGTTTCCATATGTCGATATAGAAAAAAGGCAGATTAACTGCAAAACCTTGCATATGTAAAGTAGCGTGCCAGCACAGCTCAAAGTCCCGAATTATATTTCTTAAAATCCTTTGAAAATGAAATTTTGTTTATGCGAATGGATTACATTATAAAGTACATTCTGTCGATGCATGCGAGATAAGTGCATGTTTTATTTATAAGCGTATAATCGATTTGTTTTTATTTTTTAAATGGAGACGAGGTTACACCTTGTTATATTTTCTTTTCTTTATTTCAAATGAAACAAAACCGACATATGTTTCGTATGACAATGTTGTTAAACATATCGAATTGTTATCTTTTAAGCAGTCTGACGGAATATTGTTTGTTTTAGAAACAACACAGTTGATAAGTCTTCCAAGTGAAAATTGAGATATTTGAAATAATAAATACGAGTATATCTTACCAAAGATAAAAACACGAGGTTAGTGCCTTTTTGTCGTTAAGAAACCTTGTGATCGGCTCCGAGAGTTCAGGAGAGTTAGTGAGGTTGGTTTTTATGGTTTTAAAAATGTTCGTGATGAGATGGAATCGTACAAGTTCGTGACATAGATTTTAGGGGTTCGCAAGCATAAAATCAGAAACCTTTCGATTGAAAACGGTTTGTCTAATGCCTCTAATTTAAGCGATTCATGTGGAAGAGTTGCTTGGTACTTGTGGAGAAAATGCATAAACTAGTACTTATTCACTCTATAAACACTGGAAAGCTTTGAATGCACTGAAGCTTGTGATGGTAAAGATATATTTTTTAAGCAATTCAAAATCGAACAATACATATCAGACGTGTGACATTAAAAGTAGAATATTATACAAATTTTAGTTACGATCATTCGCATGTTTCAGAAATGATAAGATTGATTCACGACAAAGGAATTATTTTAACATTTTAGTTGCGAGGGTAACCTACTACAAAATAATTAGTTAACCAATTACAAAAAAAAACATGAGCTGACATTTTTTTGTATTGTTTTTATATACACATTTTGATAATTCATATGCCAACATGAAAAACAACTTAAGACAATAACTTTACATTGGGGGAAAAATCAGTCTAGTAACTAAAGAAAATCATTTATTTTATGCTTTTCAGTGGATTACTGATTTATCCGTGAAAATTATATTTGATAATTTCACAGTGAAAATTATCAAAATATAATTTCACTTTTTTCAATGACGAAACTACTTTTTTAAGATTTTCCCCATGTGGTACCTCAATTCTATTTTTACTGACAATTCTGACAATATCAGGCTGTTAAAAAATAGCAAAGCTGAAATAGATAAATAACATTAATGTCAAAAGTAATAAAGAGAAAAAACTTACTTCTATTCCTTCAAATTCCAATCACAAAATTTCGTCTCTAAATTTTTTGTTTCGTTTTTACAGTCTGAAAAATACATTCCTTCCCCATGCAAAACTGCTCTTGATGACATTTGGGCATATTAAAGTATCCTACGAGCAATAACTGCCGTATGCTTTATGAAAAATTGAAAAGCATTGACAGCTATCACTCGTAAAATAAGTAAATCAACCCAGCGTTCCTTACAATGCCTTAGCAAGCTTCCAAGTTTTCCATTTTCCTAGCTCCTTTTCTGAATGTTTTTCACTTCTGTCAACACTTATTTTTTGTCTGTTACCAATCCTCAAATAAGTTTTCTTTCTTTTTTAAAAAGGTGTATGACTAACAAATCCAAATTATATCCTTCTGTATCTTACACAATTATTTTTCCTCCCATGAAATACACGACTTTAAAAAATGGCTGCCGTTTACATTTTACAAAGCCAGGTCTAATATAAATTCGCAGTAAGTAACAGAAATATGGATGGATGGTTGGACTTTTTCTCCTACAAGAATTGTTTGTTTTTATTATTAAAACAAGCGATCATTCATTATTTTTTTAATAAAATGAATAAATATCACATTCATTTAACCTCCATTGGAGGACTTATTTTTCAGCTTCAAGACTTCTTTGTTTTTAATGAGAAATTCCCTCTAAATGGGCTCTCAATGGGGGGGGGGGAAACAAGATTTTAATATTCAACGTTAGTTTAAAATTATGGAGAAATTTCGTTTTAACTTGTTTTAAAGCATAAAATAAAAAGAAAATTTTGTCTGTTTGTTGTGTAAGATGTAATTTTATTTCATCTCGTGAACTTTAAAAACAGTATTCTCACTCGTGGCTACGCCACTCGTGAGAATACTGTTTTTAAAGCCCACTCGATGAAATAAACTTTCATCTTACACACAAACAAACAAATATCCTCTATTTATTATCGTGTAATAATACCATACTGTGGTTCAAAATGACGAATTATTGTTTACTTAGTAAGTTTTACAGGTATTCATTATCAATACATTAGCAATCCAATGTTTCTACAATTCATTTAATATTGTGAATGTTGTTAGATTTAAATACCGTTTTTGTAATACAACATTTTTATGAAAATGAAATGTAAGAAAAAAAAAGAAAAAAATGGTAGTTTTTATTCTTTTATCATTTTACAATCTTATGTTCGATTATTGTGTTGTTTTATTTTATGAATTATTGTACATTCTTCAGCATCTGAATCAATAGTGTGACCGATTTTTGGGGAAATTATTTATGGATATATTTCAGGAACAAGAGGGAAAGAAACGTTCAGAGATAGGACCCTCCTCTTGCAGAGAAAATGAGCAATGTACACGCATGAGTGAATAGCCGCAATATAAACTTTCTTTGAAATAACAACAGTTTTCATTAGCTAATGAAAACCCGCAGTATGGGAGAGCTTTTAAGGAGGAGATTTCCGTAATCTTCCGAATTGGTAACCGTGAACTGTGATATTTAATTACCATACCGTTATTATGGAAATTATTTACGTACTGGAAAACACTCAATAGATTTAATATAACAAAAGAATGGCCATTTTGGAACTAAGTGTATTTCACAATAGAGCCGTAGAATCAGTTGTCAGAAGTAACTAATGATGTTCAGACTGTATATAGAAGGCAGATAACACCAGAAAAGAGAAAAATCCGAATGTCTTTATCACCAAGGCCTTACTGAAGATTAACTTTTAAAGTTTGGTTGACGACAGATATTCTAAAACGAGAAATATTTGTGATTGAATTTGGATGTATTTACACAGAAATTTTGGTAAGTTAATTTTTTCATTCTGCCTATTTTCATTATTAAAAAATATAATAAAATATTTATATATATATACAGCTAAACCTTATTTTTGCGGCTATTATCTGGTTATTTTTGCCTTCTTTTCTTTTTTCGGTATAATGATTTATGCTATTAAGTTTTCTTACGTAACATATTTTGATTTATTTTGTGTTTATTAAACGGTTATCTATGTTTTATCATCAGTTGTATAGACCTTCTTCATGGCGGTATGTGGACCTCTTTGTTTATCAAATAATACAATATTTGATTGTTTAGTTTGTGATATGGATCTAAGGTGACCAAAGAGGGTCCACTCATCAGACTGATTCTAAAATATTGTATATTGATAAACTTATGAACTGTTCACTTAAAAATGATAGAGAATTTTATCACTCTTAGATCTAATGAAATTAACCATGACAAAATATCAGAGCAAAAATGTTTTGATCTGTTATTCAATTCCGAAGTACTCGTATATTTCATTTCTGTATTTTAGATTTCAAAAAAAAATTCTGTATTTGGGAAATTTGAACTACGTTTAGTGTCCATGTAAATCCGAAAGACAATTTTGTTCAAGTTTCGCCTCGAGTTCATTGTTATTTCGTACATTTATACATTTTAATCACATAGCATGAATATGTTTCTGTAATAAATCACAATAAGTCACTGACAGGGCCACATATGACTAACTTAAGACTGATTATTCCGTCTGTTACATATACTAGTGTATTTTGTAGTAACAATGAAAATGTTATCCATTATATTTACAAAGTAAGAACAATTATATTTATAAAGTATGAAGAAATATATTTACAAAGTATGAAGAAACATGATAATGACGACATTATGTTTTATATTAGAATGAATATGTAAACATGTCAAATACATATTAGAGAGAATTGTTAGAACTGGTACATATTCTAGTAATTAACAGCAACCAGATTTACAATAACACCCAGCAAACATGTATGTGATACCAGGATCGTGCAACTCCTTATCCCTATAAATTCAACAATTATCTTCACCGTGACAAAGGCGAATGCAGGGAAAATGGGGATTTATTATAGGATGTGTGATGAATAAATGATAAAACTTTAAATTTATAACGCGGAAGAGCGATGAGAAATAATTATGTTATCTTTCAGAAGACAACAGTGTTCTCTTAATAATTTAATGCTCTTTAATGCGCCTTGTGTAAACGTGAGTTGAAACTTAACTATCCATCTTTATTTTGATTTTAAACATTTTTTATTAATGTCATTTTAAGATAACATGTTCAATCCTAGTATTTGAATAAGTCTCATAGATGAACTTTGTCACTTTTTACGGAGGCGTTAATAGTTACCATTTGCAAAAAAAAGGTGTAGTGTCCTACTTAATTGGGTTCAATGTCTCAAAATGGTGGTTTTTTTCCTTCTTCATTTTCTTGTTGTTTGTTGTTTTTCTAGTTTTGGGTATTTTTGTATATTTTCTTGTTGTTTTCCACTATTTTTATAGCAAAATGCATATTTTGATTAAACCAAATACTTTCAGTTAAGTTTTTTTTCACTTCCTGCAACGGTTAAGGATAAATTCAGGTTTGTTATATGTGAGTCTTCAAACATCTCCTGATCATATAAATATCATACTAGCATTTATATGTACTTATGTTTTCAGTTCAAATAAATACATAATATATGTCTCATATACATAATTATATTTATGTTTCCAGTTAAAATTCTTGAACGCTTCCATAAACTCTCCATTATAATATTCATTAAAAAATTACCTTTTCATACAAAAGAAAAAAGAATTTAAAAAATATTAAAAAGATTCGCAACTTAAAGCGCCATTTCCTTCAAAGTCAGCAACATGTACGGAATTGTCCGAGGTTTTACGATGTTAACCGATTAACTAAACGCCGGACTGAGTCACACAGGATTTATATCAATGTATATCGGCACATAAACCCTCTCAAAGAAATGGGGAGTGCTTTTACCTCAATAAGTCACTTAAAATTCCTAGGATAACCAATGTTTATTTTGTTTTTCAAAACTCAAAATTTTACAAAATATGACTGTTATACCCTGCATCAAACGAAATGTTAAACCTCGATGATGTAAAATTTTCTGAAAGAGAATGTAAATAAATATCAATGAAAATTTTCAAATTTTAGCATAGTCGCTCACAATCTTTCAAACGTTTCAAAAATGTAATTTGTCAAAAAATATTAATTTGACACTGACAAAATACCACATGTTGAGTTTAGAAGTATTAATCTGCATTAGCATTTATCAAAATCTTATTAAAATGGTTTTGTACCTCTAGTTTGTTTCACAACATTAAAAACAGAGAAATGTTATCTCAGAATATGATTTATATATAATATACGCTATGAAGATGAGATAAAGGCAAATTGTAACATCCTCATGATCAAGAAATATATAATAATTTATAGAGCAAAATGTAGAAAACAGCAAAATGTAGAAAACACACCATCTAAAACATAAAATAACACGATTAACGCTTGTTTTACATAAGTTGCCGTTAATAGATACATTCCACACAGAGTTATCGAACATTGCGCAGAGTTATTGGTGAATAGTAGCAGTTTCTAAATTGGTTACCGTAAATCATTAATTGAAACAGATACGCGAACGGTTAACGTAAACAAATGAAGCACACGTTGATAAGGATTAGTGGAATATGTCGGAAAATGCATTATTTTGTCTGATTACATTAGCAACAGAATGAAAAATGTGATTGTTACTGAATGAAAACATATCCTAGAATATAAAAAATCTCATAGTTCTGGTCGACCTTTTACGTGAACGTACTTTTTCTTCATACTTGTAAGCCAGGTGTTATTTAATCATTACCACGCTAAATACATGTACTTTTTTAAAAAAATGGACTTGTCCATCTTTCTATATTGACAATGTAGGAAAATTTTCAAAATAATTGAGCCGCATTACGACAAAACCAACATAGTGGGTTTGCGACCAGCATGGATCCAGACCAGCCTGCGCATCCTCAGTCTGATCAGGATCCATGCTGTTCGCTATCAGTTTCTCTATTTGTAATAGAGTTGGTTAGCGAACAGCATGGATCCTGATCAGACTGCGCGGATGCGCAGGCTGGTCTGGATCCATGCTGGTCGCAAACCCACTATGTAGGTTTTGTCGTGATGCGGCTCAATTATGTATACTAACTGAATACAAACAGTGCAGACCATGATCAGACGATAAGGATGTGCCATCAAATCTTGGTGGTTAGCTTCCGTACCCGCCAACAGGCAAAGGGTTTATGTTTCTATAGTAATGTATAGGATAGTTACACCTTTCTCATATGTAAAGCTATTATACAAAACGTTTGTCATTGTGTTAGACGACGCTTCAGTTGGAAAGAACACATGAAATAGAAAAAATAAGAACCCTTAAAGAAAGTCCAAAACGGCAAAATTGAATGGGTGGAACTAATCAAAATGGAATTTTGAAAGGGTATCTGAGGTTATGAATCCTGCATGTAACAGATAAGACGTCAACAGACAAATTTAAAAAGCAGGGGTGATTCAAAATTCTTCTAGTAGAAATATTGGAACCACCCAACTAGAAAAAGGCCAAATAGTAAAAACTCAAAATACCACCAATACGACAATAGTGTCGTGCTGAACGATCTTTAAGGATCGTATAACATCTCTGACTGGAGGTACGGGGCGACTTTTTACGGCCTCCAACAATTACATTTTCATGTCAGATTATAGTCATGATAGAGACTGATGTAACTTGAATCCCCAGCAAAAATGTTTTAAAAAAGATAAAGTACATTTAAGCCGCGTCATGACAAAACCAACATAGTGGGTTTGCGACCAGCATGGATCCAGACCAGCCTTCGCATCCGCGCAGTCTGATCAGGATCCATGCTGTTCGCTATCAGTTTCTCTACTTGTAATAGGGTTGGTAAGCGAACAGCATGGATCCTGATCAGACTGCGCGGATGCGCAGGCTTGTCTGGATCCATGCTGGTCGCAAACCCATTATGTTAGTTTTGTCATGGTACGGCTCATTTACTAATTAAAATGCGTTCTTCGTGTCCTTTTTCCGAATTTTTCATTTCACTATGAACTGCTTGGAATGTTAATATCTTAAGCTAGGTTAAAATTGATGTAAAGAAAATGTCAAATAGAAGACTGGAGTACTTAGGGTAAAAAATGACAAGCATTTTGATTACAACTAGAGTACAATTATTTATATAAGGTGATAACGGGAACCAGCTGTCTAACATTAAACTTTTAACTTCTAACATGCTGTTAAAAACCCACTAGTAATACATATTAATAGAGGGCATATTATGTTCAGCCCATGATTTCAAATATTTTAACATCCCCCTTATTTGAAGCGGGATTGTTATCGCCCATCAAGACTGCCATATTAAAAATGCGATGTCATCATTCAAACCATAAGATTTACAACCCTGTTGTTGAGCGAGTTCGTGTGATGGATTGAAACCCCTTCTTAACATTTCTTCCAGTGTCTATAGTTGTGGCAGTGGGCACTGTCTGTCATGTATTGCCTGTAGTTGCCACCGACAACCCATATTGACGACTGACTTCAGAAGACCGTATTATTTAAGTTTCTCACTTTTTGGGTTTTTGTTTTTGTTTTTGCTTTGGGTCAACGGACACAGTAGCATTAACAAAAAGCTCTTTATAAAGGTGTATAAACCATTACACAAGACCCCGATTTTTGAAGTCGCATTCGAAAGACTTGTCAGTAATTTCAAATGGAGTAGCGAGTAATCTAACCATTTGTGTGTTACCACTAGAGCACCGCGCAAAGTATCCCGCTGTGCCATATAAACATTGTCATGATACCCAGACCTTTCTTATCACCCGGACTAGGCGTTATACAACCGCGTGCCGAGTGGAGATGTATTCGGTCTTTAGTTGAAAACCCAGAAAAGTTGTGTAAGGAATGCCAGTGTAATATCATAATAAGTTATGTTTAAACATTCGCTTCGAATTTCTGAACTAATGCTATAAGGATGATTGTATGACTTCTATTTCTGCTTGTATCTTCTTAGTTCATGTTTATATAGTATAGGTACCTTTCCACATATAGACAAATCATTTTTCTGCACGGAAATCACTGTCATAGGAAAATAAAATGGTTGCCTTTAATGGCAAGTTTTTTATATATGTTCATTTGTGGTCATCATTCAGACGATGTATATACATGTATAATCTAAGTGTACGCGTGCATGCAAAACGCAGTTAAAAATCGCTATGCATCATGGTCATTCTAGGAATTGTTCAAAATGCTATAAATGTTTAACCGTTGACACTTGAACTAATCTTGTGGTGCATTAAATCATATACTGCACGGACAAAATGGACATCGGACAATACACGAAGTTATAAATCCGTCACTTGTACTTTTTATATGGCTTTTCTCATGATGTGATTAATTAAGGACCATATAATATAATAATAGTCAATCCATGATTATTATATCATTATTATATTCTTATCATGACAATAATCATATAAATCAATCACTCTTGATTTAGTTTGACACAATTTAAGGTCCGTCCGTGCGATACATTTTAATGACATGCATATAATATGTATTATATATACATGTATATGTTTTGTCACATTCTCTGGAAATACATTATTGATGTTAATATTATACACATAGTCTATAAAAAAGATATATTTGTTTTGTTTAATATGATAATTATATGAATATTCATTACCTCATATACTACAAGGTTTTTACAAAAATGTATTTCATTAACTGACAGCTGTTTTATTTTATTTATTTATTTATTTATTTATTTATTTATTTATTTATTTATTTATTTATTTATTTATTTAGCTAAGTTTTCTTTCATTATGGTCAGATCAACAAGAAATTGGCTTTCCTCTTTTAAATTATTATGACATTGTGAGAAGAAGTATTTTACATTTATACTTACCTACTCCGGGGAAGATCTTGTTTGTTCCCTGTTAAAACATTGTTTATTTATATGGTTTTAGTAAGCATAAAGTAGTTGAGTTACAAGAACTCGAGACTGAAAGGGATAAATCATGTACAGTGATTTGGTGTCCACGGTTTGGGTGCATGAAAAAGGCGTCGTGTTCTTTAAATGTTCTTTTTTGGGTCTCTATATTCATATAAAGTTACGTTCGACAAATCTTTCGAAGTGACTAAGTTATCATATAAAGTTATATAAAAGCGATATTTCTTATATGGATAGTGAAATATTTCGCAAGGTGTATAGGTGACTGATATAGGATGTTTATGTAGAAATAATTGATATTGGCGGTCGAGTGAAGTGCATGTTTGACATGGTTACTTTGACAAGTAGACTAACATAAATGACAAATAAAGTGTGGCTATCTGTCAGTCACCGGCCATACGAGGTGAAACATACTACAAATGTTGATATATAGGACCTAAATTATAACAATTTAGTCTCATACTGTCATTTTCCTCTTTAAATCAATACTATGAATATAATTCAGTCATTATTGCCTCAGATTCCATTTGTATCTAAAATAATAACTGCTGTACATTTAATCAGTGACATATAAAAACCAAATAACTAAGTTTTGTATGAATGTCATAACAGCCATCATATCTATAACCTATACTTTTGCCATCGTTCTCATCATGTTATAAATCATTATTACACATTCACCACCATCATCATTATCACATTCTCCTTCCTTTCTACTTCTTTTATTGCTGATTCTATTCTTGCTGTTTCAGCTGCTGAATTTACCACCGGCTATCACTTCCACCACTGTTGCTACTACTACTTCTTGTTCATCTCCTTCTTTCTCATTTTCTTTTTTTCATCATCATCACCATCAGCATCATCATCAGCATCATCATCAGCAGCAGCAGCAGCATCATCATTATCATCATCAGCATAATCATCATCATCATCATCATCATCATCATCATCATCATCATCATCATTTTGTTATTATCATCATTATCAACATCAGCATCATCATCATCATAAGCAGCAGCAGCAGCATCATTATCATCATCAGCATCAGCAGCAGCATCATCATTATAATCATAATCACCATCATCACCATCATTTTATTTTTATTATCATCATCATCATTATAATCATCATCATCATCATCATCATCATCAGCATTATCATTATCATCATCATCATCAATATCATCATCATCATCATCATCAATATCATCATCATCATTATCATCATCATCATCATCATTATCACCATCATCATCATCATTATCATCATTATCATCATTATCATCATCATCATCATCATTATTATCATCATCGGCATTATCATTATCAGCAGCACCAGCATCATGCACCAACACGTTAGAGAAATTTAAGATACCCGAATGATGACAATATTTGCCGAAATTATATTTTATTTATATTTATTGTATTGATGGATTTAATATACATGTATCAATTACTCGAGTGCTGCAACTTATTATGTTATTTCATAGTTTAATAATTGTAAATGACGTAATATCATCCTAGATGAGTTGAATATTATCAATTAGATAAAAAAAAGTAGGTACAGCTAAATGAAAAAATTAATTACAAATAATATATTTTATTTCTTCTATTTTTCATTTCAGGTTAGTCATGTTTTCGCCAAGAATTTTACTTCAAGTCACAGTAGTCATCTGGCAGGCCTCCTCTATATTAGTAAAAGGTAAGTTATTCAAAACTACATGGTGAATATCACAATATATTATACATTATAACATACTGGAAAAAGATCTTTAAGGAAACAATTATATGTTGGGGTCTTCGATGTCCATTCGTTGTGGCCTTTGCCTCAGGTCAAATTTTAACAAAAAAATTCAAAATTCCCATGCATATAATGCACGTGCATATATTTGGTTTAGATATATTTATTTAATCTCGGTTGCTTTCATACGCACAAATATTTAGAATAGGTTGCGTCCTTAACACATAAAACCAACGGCTTTTAGAATTCTTTACTTTGGAAACTTTCCCGTAGAGGAATATACATGGTTATAGAAGAATTATATAAAAATGATGATAATCATCAAAATGTCATCGTTACAATTCAAAAATATAGATAATTGATTAATATTGCCAAAAGGATTAAGTTTATATTTTACAAACGAGCTTGGAGAACGCAAATGTAAGATTTGAATGATTGTGTAATAACACAATTACATTAAATCACACGGTAACATCAAAGAGAATACTATATAGGTGACCGAGACAAATAAATAAACATATAATGAATGATCTGTCTGAAATTAATTGTTTTACAAAAGTACATTATCCAAGGTTTTTCTATTAAAGCATTTTTATAGCTCGTAATTTTGGACAAATTGTATGCATGTTTTTGTACCAATTTAAAATCAGTCAATGTTCACTTCATCTACATTTTTTTTCCGTTGAACCTGTTAAAATGTTGTTTTTCTTGATTTTTTGTTCAATTGTTAATCTTATTATAAACATCATTTACTAGGACTAAAATAGTTCTATCAAATGACTATGGGCTTAAAATGTGCATATACATATTTCTAAGTATAATTGGGGATTTTTGAATTAGTGAAAGTTCTTTATGTTCAACCGGCGTAAAGCCTTTGTAAGCAAAAAAAAGTAACTTGACCTGCTAAGCAACACATTGCATATCACCAACAATCCAGGAGTTTGCTTGACTTGATCTTTATTTGCGGAGGGAGCCGTGCATTAAGTGACAGGTTTCTTTTTTGTGGCCTGTCTATTAGGTGATATTAAAAACAAGGGTGACTGTATTAACATCAAAGGGCTAGGTCAGAATATTAGTAACATAAATATTTAATTAAACAAATACAACAGTAATCAAAGTAACATCAACAACTGTGGTTTATTGAATAAAGTATGTAATACAAGGTCCCTTAAAATGATGACTTTTTTATGCTATTATTAATTAAAAAGAACATCTCATTTGACATTAGATATTGTTATAATAACAATTAAGTAATGAAGTTTTTATTATTTCATGTTATGTTTGACAAATAAACATATTTTTGACATCTGTTATAAAACCTGATTGATATATCATTTTGTTGTACTACTAAATCATAAAACAATTTAGTATGCCCTGACCAGCCATGTTAATTGAATATCCCATAAAGGCTATTAAAATGTCAGAAAAAAAACCTTTTGTTTTGTTTGAAATGTAAGGAAAAAAACTCGATAAACAACATTTCTGTTTCACCAACTTCCGGATTTTTTCTGAACTATCTTGTCATAAAGCGTTTGGAAAAAAACAGCTTTCATATCTGAAATTTCTTTAAAGTGGCTTGGTGACAGTTTTTTATGTTTTATTATTGCCCCAAACTGAATATCTCATTATAATAGTTTAAAAGTAAAATGTGGCATAAACCATTTGTATGACCACTGTAACTCCGAATTAAACAATGACCACCTTTTCTTTAATCGTTTTAATGATAATGCACTGTAAGAGACACTCAATGCTGTGCTGTATACATAGTTTTATCATGTGTGTATTCTATGTTATTATTGTTGTTTATTGTCAACAATACTGTATATCTGAAAACTTTGTTGTGAATGATACAATATACAATATACTGTTCATCTTCGAGAATTGTACAAACTGTCCATTGATTATGTGATTATATGTGTGTGTGTGTGTGTATATGTGTGTGTACGTAATGACGACTATATGTTCTTTGTATACATCGAAATAAAATGTCTGTTCTGTTGTGTTCATGGATCCTGTAGCAACGACTAACATGAAATGATGATATTTTGAATTGGAAACATCCTCATGTATTCGTCGGCTTAGTAACACGGAAGTTATACTCCCTGTTTATAGAAATTATATTTTTATGTAAAGACTGGCGAAAGTAAATTCTAAATTATTTTTTTTCAATTTTGAAAGGTTAACTTTTACCTTCTATAGTATATCAACCATTTTAAAAACTTCAGTCTTTTATAGTGACAATATCCAGCTATCAAACTGAAAGATAAAACTGAAAGCAATTATTCTCTTCTGTTGTCATGTTAAACTTTTGTCATAACTTATTGAGTTATGCTCACCACTAGTCATGTCATATTCCACCTTCTTGCCCATATATTTAACAGATAAAATGTTACAATGCCAGATAACATATCTTATAACAATAAGCAAATAAAATATTTGCAGTTGCTACATAAATATTCTTTATCTTAAATTGCAAAGACTCGTAAATAAAAGTCTTTATAAATGCAATAAATGATAATATTTGTTAACAGAAAACATCATTCGAACTTTAAAAACATGTAAATTAACATTTTTTTAATTGAGATACAGTTTAATCTGTGCTCAAACAAACGCCACCACTGGAAGCCCCTAAGTGCAGCTATAACAGTGTCTACCTGCTTCTAGAGACTTCTTGTCAACAAACAAAGAACAAAATTAATATTTACTGAACAGGATCATTTCGCCACTTTTGTAGATGAAACAAGTGTCAACGTAACAAATCTTGCTAAGTACTTTTCAAGTAATTGTAACGATGTTTGCCGATATTAACGGTCTGTTAAAAAGAAAATTTGGCACTTTTTTCATATTTTATAGATTCCTCGTATATGAGTTGTGTAATAAAAAAACTGATAAAATATGATAGTCCCAATATCGTCACATTTTTATCGTTTCAGCGGAAGCTCAGGTTGTAGTTACACCGTATCCAGCGTTGATCTACCAGGGTGCGATCCCGGATGTGCCGGTACTTTCCGTGAAAGCCACCGATACAGACACCAACCAGCCGTTAATCAATGTAGCTCTTACAACCAGTGGGGACGCCGAATATTTTCAGCTTATACACCAACCCCGAGTACCAACTGAATGGATTCTGAAAGTCAAACGAACTATTGACAAACCAGTGGGTTATGTGTTTAAGTTTAGTGTCTACGGATATTACAACCAAACTCCGCAAACACAACGTATCCAAATCAATGTAACGGAGAAGAACGAACATGCGCCGTCGTTCGAAATACAAGAATACACGTTCAAGGCTTTCAGGAACGGGGTGGATTATAATCTAACGGACATCGGAACTGTTAAGGCTGTTGACGCCGACACAGAGTTATATAACAAACAATTTCATTATCATATACTAGATCCTTTAGCAGAACAATATTTTCATGTCGACCTCGAATCCGGTCTTATAGAGATGATCGACAACATTCCACGGAACGTGACCAGTATACCGTTTAGCGTTACGGCCATTGACGGTGGATCCCCACAGAGGTTAAATTCAACCGACGTTACTGTTGTAATAACAGATCTTCGACGTAAGTTTCCTATAAAACTATCACATCTCTACCATGTATATTTCATATTTAGTGAGAGTAGCTATAATCAGTCAGATTTTCAAAATTATTAAAACACTTTCTTTTCTATCAAAAGGAGTTTTTCATTGTTACTCAGTGATTAACGCAACTATTGTTAGACAACATTCTCTAATTTTGAACGAGAAACGGAATATATAGAAATTTATTGCACTTTACGTTCGAATATTATTATTTTATCGTTTGAAAGCTCATAAAGCCACTCTCTCTCTCTCGTATTCTAGACTTCGCCAATCCAACAAAATAATATTAGACCAACCTAGCCGGGCCAGTTGCTAAGTTTTCTTTTTACATTGAAATATGTTGTGTTTTTTTTTTTGGATTGATTGTTTCAAATTCATAACCACATCCATTACACAATAATTACACAATAATTATACAAATTCAGCAGGTTAATGGTTTAACGATCAATAAAACACTAGACTTATAACCTTGGTAAATACCGACAAGTAACGAAGACACTTTATTTTCAGTTATTTGAAAAGCGTAATACAATATATGTATTTGCATTAAGTCATTGACACCAAGACCACTTATATATTATCACATATCATTTTAGTAATATACATGTACGGCCATTTTAAACAGTGGGAGATAAAAGAAGAAAAAAACAACAGTACATGAACATGCAGTTTCATGTAACTAGGTCTTGTTTAACGTCCTTAGGGTTTGCTATCTATCATTTCATATATAAAGCAGTCTACAGTTTGTAAAGAAAAGAAAAACATATATTAGCATAAACACTTGAAGAAATTTAGGTAAACGAATATGACTGAATTTTACTGAATAACAACAAATTGGGAAAGGAATTGTTATTATAAGTCAAAATATGAACGGTTTCATTAAGTACAACCATTGATGTACATGCAAGTTGAAAAAAGTCAAGACCATGTCAAATTATCAAGTCATACAGATAACTTATGTAGGATCGGACCTAATGGACTATAATTATGTTCTACGTACAAAGTATAATACAGAATATGAAATTAAACTGCAATATATTCCCCATTTATTTATTTTTTGAACGAAATGTAGCAAAATATAATCAATTATAGACTTGGTACAGAAATGACTTTTCTAAATCTAGATACTTTCCGACCATTTTGGTACGGACACAAATAAACATGATTCATTTTTATGTTACGTTCACCGCGGCCAAACAAAAGTCTTTATAAAGGTAGAACCTGAAGGTCCCGGCGTTTGCAACACGTTCGACCTGTCATGTACATAAATATATACGGAGGTAATGTAAACGAGTGATAAGAAAAATGACCAGTCTCGTTCTATGATACACAAACATGTTCATGTAAGTACATGTTTTAATGGTCAGTTACATGTTTTAACATTTGTTTACATGCAATTTCTCTAATTTGGCCTGCATGTGAACTACATTCAAAAAGACAATTTATGGGGCAACCTTCTAAATGGCCACGTCTAAATTTTAGTCATATACTTGCTTTAAGGTGATGAATTAAGTTAAAACAAACCATTTGTGTGTACATTTTGCTATTTGAGAAATATAAACTAACGTGAACGCATCTTAAAACTAGACCTCTTGTTTAAAAGTTTTTTTTGCCTCGGATTTTTGAATAATTAAGCCGTGTTTCTTTTGTTTCGATTTTAATGCCCTTTATTGCGGAAAACGAGTTGTTGCTTTTTTAATTGTTGCTAGAATAATTGATAGATTTGATATCTTGAATAAAAAACGGGCAGATAAATAAGTGGTTTAGTTAAGAAGAACGCGATGTAGAATGATTCAGTCATGAGGAGGATGGTTGATTAGTCCTGAAACAAACTATATGACGGGTCGAAATCCGTTAAGTTTCATTTTATGTTGGCGACAGATGGACTTAACGTTCCTTTAATGTAAAGTCATTCTTAATCGTTACTTTAATGCCTCTACCGGAATGCCTTTATAGATTTGTGAGGAAAACAAATACTTACAGTTTCAAAATAAAAGCGTTACCTACTGCATATATAGTTAAAAGAGACAAGTGATTTGATTTCTCATGTCTTAATTAAGGACGTTTTACGTGCAGCAATGTGTGTTATGATTAACGATATACTGACATTTGGAAATAGAAGTTGTTCATTATTTCAGGCATAGTGTCACTTATATAATAAAATAACGAAAAAAAGTTGCCATGTGGAATATAACGTTAACCCTTTACTTCACTTTAGCCCCGGATATATTTTGTGTGGCTGTCGAAGAGTCTGTTGCTCGAGTTTGCTGGAAAGATCCAACAAACGGAAGTTACGTCATGAAGTATGAACTTCATTTCAAAATGGATGACGAAAACGCCACGACGGTTCCAGTGCGTGTGGAAGGCATACAAGATGAAACGTGTAGTATTGTAACGGGAAACCAGTTAGGCCGGAACTATACATTTTCTGTAAGAGTCTTTAACGGGCTTGAGAGTAGCCCGGACAGCCTTCAAAGAAAAGTGACGATCGAAAAGAGAGGTATGTGTAAACTTGATAAAAAAAAAGAAAATACACATTGAAAAAAGGCAATATATTTTCTTGAACTTCTTAACGCATAAGACATTGCATTGCTTCACCTTTAAATAAAAAAAAAATCGGCTTTATGCTTTTTTGTATAAACTATTTAATTTGTTCATTCACATGTCTACATAGTTACGCTATTATAAAAGGAATGTTTTGTCATAAAACTCTTAAAAAAACACGACAGACATATGTTCACAATTTTGAACTTAATTGACAAATATTGTGAAAGGATATGACATTAGTCATTGTTTAAGAGCTAGGTCCAAGTTGGAAGACGTTTAAAGTTGTACGTTGGACTTTCTTCATGTTTTAGCTCATTGGTTGTTTTCTGCTCAAATTTATTGCAACAAAAAGAGGTACACATTTTCAGTTTAAATTGGTAAATGTTTTGTTTGCTTTCATAGCAAATATATATACAATGTAGAAGTAAAATGATTTATATTGTTTAAACTATATGGCTTGCTTAAGATATGGCAGTAACCCCATCAATAATACAACATTTAATAATTTCCATTGCAATTGGAATCTGTCATTGAATTTCAACTTTTAACACTAAACAATACAAAACTACTTCTTCTTATTGTTAAAACCTTTAAGTTTTAACAAAAATGTATTGTTTTAACAAGTTTTTCTCCGTTCCAGATGTCAAATTTGATGAATAAATTTATATGACCTGTTAGACACGGAAAGATTAGTTTAGAGAATAGAAACAGTGTTGTTGTTTTTTCTGCATTATTTCTCGTAATCCAAAATTTTAAAACAATATTTATTGTTGTTTCTGTAAAGATAAATTACAGGTATAACTGTTGTTCGGAGGCAGAGAAAATCAAATTTATCATCATGCTGTTCTACAAAGATTTTTCTTCTATATTTTTCTATAACATCATTGTTCAATCGTTGCTCTGAAATTGCCAAATTAAAATTAGATATTTTGACAAAGTTCATGAATTTTTCCCTAAAAATAAACAGAATTAAAAGTTAATTAGTTTATCATATCTTTTATAGGTAATTTATCTGTTTATTTTATAGACATATTATCATTTGCATTTGTCCACATTTTGTCGATTTGTTATGCAATCATTCATTTATGTTAAGTTCGTAGAAATCGCTTGTGTTAACCACTGCCACAAATCATGATTTTTGTATATACATATTCTAACGAATGATTTATATGTTAAGGTTTGTACGGGAGCTGTGCAGAGTTTAGTAAGTGCAGTATCTACGAACCGTGCCAAAACAATGGAGAATGCCTCGCAAGTCCGGACAAGACTTACATGTGCAACTGCTCGAAGGGATGGGGTGGGGTTAACTGCACGGAGGTGGATCTTTGTGCTTCGACGCCGTGTGAGAACGGTGGCACGTGCGTGTTCTTGGGAGATAGGAATTACACGTGCACGTGTCCAGATACACACTACGGTAATTTTTGTCAATATTTTAACGAATGTTCATCAATGCCTTGTAAAAATAATGCGTCATGCATGAGCGAAAATAACACTTTTAAATGCATATGTCAAGATCATTTTGTAGGCGAGTTGTGCGAAATACCTGACCCGTGCATACCTTCACCATGTATGCACGGGAATTGTTCCTCGGAGGAAGGTGCGGGATTTAATTGTTCGTGCCAAACGGGCTATTTTGGCACATTGTGTGAATATGAAGATGTTTGCGCGCTCTATGTGCCGTGCTACCAAGGCTCATGCATAGCGAACAACGTGTCATCGAAAATTGCTGAGGACAAATACACGTGCTTTTGCGAAGTTGGATACCGGGGAAGAAGATGTGATAAAGAAGACACGTGCGAGTTATCATCTAAACTTGGAATGGCGATATGCAAAAATAATGGAACATGTATGTATAAAGAAGATGGTTCTTACAGGTGTGTTTGTGAGAATGGATTCTGGGGAGACTCGTGCCAAAACTTTGACCCATGTATCGAAAAGCCCTGTGGAACGGGAAGTTGTAAAAATGTATCGAATGAAGAATACACGTGTCATTGTAATGGCGGACACTTTGGTAAAAATTGTGAACATTTTGACACTTGCTTTAATGATCCGTGTCACTTTGATAGCAAGTGTTTAAATGTCTCGGACATGGAGTATCATTGTGAATGCCCGATCGAGCGATTTGGCAAAAATTGTGAAAAGATAAACGGATGCAAAATTAATTTTTGTCACCAGACCTCCTCCTGTATTAATGTGACAGAAGCTGGTGCAGTTGATTGTATCTGTCAGCCAGGATTTTCTGGCATGTTCTGTGATATATTCGATCCATGTCTTCTGAATCCTTGCTTGAACAACGCATCCTGTTCCAGCATTTCCGGTAAAATAAATTGCACATGCGCAGACGAATTTCATGGAAATTTATGTCAGTTCGATGATCCATGTTTTGAAAACCCATGCTGGAACGGCGGTAAATGTAGAGTTAGTGAAAAGAACAAATCAAAATACCTGTGCACTTGTGCAGACATATTTTATGGAAATCAATGTGAAAATTATGATTTTTGTGAAAATGGCTACGAATGTGAAAATGGTGGCACTTGCATAACACAGGAAGGTCAAGAGACTCATGAAATAGCACTGAATGGAAACATTTCTCTTCTCGGTCATGCCAGAATCACAAATCGCCCATCTTGCGTCTGTATCCATGGTTATGCTGGTAAGTCAAGGGTCAAGGTCGCTGTTGTCGGATTTCACTGTTTTACCTCTGTGCACCTAAAATACGTCTATAATCATGCACCTTTGTTGATATTTGTTCTTTCCCTGTAAATGTCTCTATCCATGCATTATCTGATTGTAATTCTTGAGGATAACACCCCATGTTTTCGTGTGCTTTTGTGTATGTTTCACGTTTGTCTAACATTTGGAGGGAAGCTGTTTTGTTCAATGTTGCTGGACGCTCGATTGTAATCACAGACGGTGGAGGATTGTTGTGCCAAACTAAACAGTATTTTATGAAAATTAAAGATAAATAATGAATAGAAAATAAGTTAATAAATTGAAACCTTCAATAGTGAACAATTCGATTTTTAGACGATGTAACTGTTCTGGTTTAAAACAAAAATTGTTTAAAATTGTTTTCTTGTATATTGGCATTGCTTACGCGCTAACATTTAAAAAGCTCGCAAAGCGTTTGCAGCTTATGATTATTTGTTAACTTGTTAAGTTTTTCTTTAATTTTGTGTCGTCATTATTTAAAAGACCATTAAATTGGACATTCCTTAACTCTACAAGTTAAAAAAAGACGTGGTTCCTTAATCTTATTTCAATTAAGAGACAAAATATATTTTTATTTACAGGTGCTTGGTTTTTACCTGCTTTTATTTTTCAAAGAAAGAATTGATATATCATTAAAATACTTTTGTTGCCTTTTTTTAAAACTTTGTTTTTAATGGTCTTTTGCGACTGACTGCACAAATATTTGTAACAGAATTTGAATATTGTTCACAAGTTAAACTGCAAAGGTTATGGCAAATGATGTGGAAAGGGGTTGTATACTATTAACTGTTACACAGAATTATTTATCATAGATACAATATAATGTATGTATTGTTACGTCTATGCCTAACAATAATGTCTTCATAATTCATTTTTGCCCATCACAATTTGATAATAGAACAAACATATATATTATACCGATATGTAAGTTAATTCTTGTTTATTGCATTTATTACATACAGTGAATTATAAATCTAATCAATAGCATAAATATTTATTTGATAACATTTTTCTTTTTCTCATTTGTTGTGGCATCTTGAAATCTCTAAATTTTGTTGATGATATGACCTTTATCTTTGTCATTTTTTACCTTTAGCCGCTCATAGTTCATGTTTACATTTTAACACATTTGTTTTATGCATTTCTACAGTTTACCTCTTTGACTTTATATATAAAAATAATAATATCTTTATATCTTTTCTTCCATGGTTTTTACTGTCATGTTTTAATCTTCATATATTTTCCATAAAATGTAAAGTAAATATCATGACTTAAGAAACCAGTTTTACATGTGAGCCGTGTCACGACAAAACCAACGTAATGTGTTTGCGACAAGCATGGATCCAGACCAGCCTGCGCATCCGCGCAGTCTGATCAGGATCCATGCTGTTCGCTTACCAACTCTTTTACAAGTAGAGAAACTGATAGCGAACAGCATGGATCCTGATCAAACTGCGCAGATGCGCAGGCTGGTCTGGATCCATGCTGGTCGCAAACCCACTATGTTGGTTTTGTCATGACGCGGCTCATATATTATTTTGTTCAGTGTAATAAAGGCGCTTGCATGTCTTGTCTTCTACCCCGCGCGTTCATTTGTCCATTTATATACAAATCAGAGCTTACAAATACATGTATGTTGCTTTTTATGCTGCGGCAATAATTTGTACTTCAAAAATACATAAATGTGTGCATTTCGTAAAAATATTTGCTAAACATCTTTCTCCATATTTAAACTTTTCACCGAATTAATTATTCAATAATTCTATTAAAAAATCATTTATATAACTGTGCTGTATATATATTAACGTGCATTTAGCTTTAATTTTCGTAGTAGTTTTATTTCGTATATAATTTTATTTTGTTTTGTTTTTGGAAATACTTACTTATACTGTTATTCTTTTATCTATAAATTTCGTGCATTTTAGGGAGTCGTTGCGAAAAACAATCCCCATGTTTTCAGTCTCCATGTGGTGACGGTCAGTGTTTGCTGAAAGGTGAAGGTCATATCTGTAACTGTCGTGATGGGACAGTGCGTGTCAGCTGTGAGGAAGGTTTGTACCATAATGAAGTATATTTAAAGAATAGATTTTAAGTTTTGGGTCAGGTAAATCACATGGCCCGCCCTGTCCGTATTGACACGCCTTTACAAACGCAGCACATATGATTTGTTGTTTTCGTCGTAGTTGTTGTTGTTGTTGCTGTTGCTGCTGCTGCTGTTACTGCTGCTGCTGCTGCTGCTGCTGCTGCTGCTGCTGGAATGTGGAATGAAAAATCAGAGAATGGTTCCTCTTAATGTTTTAACTTTATAGAATTTCTTATTACGAAAATTACCTACATTTCAATAGTCGATATCTTATATCTTAAGCGCTCTAAATTTTTCATACGTTTAAATTTTCGCTTTATTTCATGTTATATATTTCTAGTGTTTTGTGTAGAAGAAAGTTCCTCTTATGACAAAACTGGTTGGTACACCTGGCCAAGAACAAAGTCAGGGGCAACAATCCGGGTAGACTGCAGTCATGGTCCCAGCAGTATATTCAGTACTGGCTTTGCATCGCGATATTGTAACGTATATATGGATGGAACAACATTCTGGAACCTTCCGAAAACTGCCGATTGTTTGGAAGTAAGTGCATGTTTTATATGTTTACCTTTTATCATGTCCATGTTTGATGGTTGTACCATGCAATGTACGGTTTTTGAACGATATTTTCGTGGCATTTTGCCGGCTATTAGTGCTAGCTAGTATTATTTTATATACATGTTTACCTTTTATCATGTCCATGTTTGATGGTTGTACCATGCAATGTACGGTTTTTGAACGATATTTTCGTGGCATTTTGCCGGCTATTAGTGCTAGCTAGTATTATTTTATATACATGTAATTAATTTCGAACTATGAATAACTTATATCATTTTCGCATATGACAGATTTTGACAGTAACGAATTATTGTTGATTTTCAGCATTTCTACACGTTATTTGTTGTCAAATGTAGTACGTTAAGACGGATATACACTTTATCTAGCATGTACCCCTCTGTTATGCAAGTATGATTCTCTTACTTTTACGTTTGAATAGATGATGATATAAGTATCATGCTAAATATCACAACTATAGTGTGTGTATACGTTTGTTTCAGCTACAAACAAAGGACGTAAGTCAAAATCTGCGGACATTAGCCTCCCTGACCAAGGACGCTTCTGGTCTAAAATCCGAAGAAATAGCAAACATCACCAGTACACTCGAGGAGTATTTCTTCTTCTCTTTCGAAAACATAGAAGTAAGTGGTTACTTTAGTTATATCATTACAATCAAATTGAATGAGGGTATGGGGCGTCCGTGGCCGAGTGGTTAAGGTCGTTGACTTCAAACCACTTGCCCCTCACCACTGTGGGTGCGAATCCCGACAGGGACTTTGGATTCTTTCATGTGAGGAAGCTATCCAGCTAGCTTACGGATCGTCGGTGGTTCTACTCAGGTACCCGTTCGTGCCTGAAATAAAGCACGAAAGGGCACATGAGGTCTTCCTCCACCAGTAAAGCTGGAACGTCGCGATATGACCTATACTGTGTCGATGTGACGAAACCCCCCTCCCCTCCCCCCCCCCCCCCAAAAAAAAAGAATGAGGGTAGGGTCAAAGCTGTGTTAATAGCCACTTTCATTTAACGACCATTTGTAAAAACGGTAAATAATTTTCTTAAATCTTTTTCTTTTTTACCATAACTGAATAAAAACAGCCGGACTTATTTCTTTTAAAATAATAAAATAACTCATTTCAACGCCGACGACTGTTTCCATCTTCTCATTCTTTTCTTCTTTTACAAACATTTCTGAGATACAGAACATAGTTCATTTTAACAGAGATATTCAAGTCACGCATGTGTTTTTTTCTGCTAATACTATTTTTACACTGTATGAAATCTGATGGTGTTTTTGTGTTTGTATTAATATTTTGTGAATGAGTATAAAATTGTCAAATTTTCTCTAAAATATATCAAAATGTAGATCACTTTATCGTGGATTGTATTGATAAATGTTACGAAAATATACCGTGGTTCCATATAACAAAGAAAATGATTAACAGGTCGCAGAATCAAATTGCAAATAACATTAGCCAAGAGAAAGTTAACATTCAAGATACCCCTACTCACACACAAAAAACTACAACAAAAAAAAAAAAAAAAAAAAAAAAAAACAGAATTTTACAACGCCTTTCAACAAACTTACAAGAACCTAACCTTATATCAATGTTTAAACTGACAAAACACTAGCTATGCAATTGTTCACAAATACAAACAGAAAAAAGTCACCAAAAAGTTGTTGCTGTTGAAATTAAGCTCGTGCGTGTGTTGCCATGCCAAAAGTTGTACTCTGTTTTCTTTTATTACACTTCACAAAATTCTAGAATTCATTCTTTGTGCCAAAATAATTCATTTTTATAAATTAATGAAAAAAAAAAGAAATACTTTATCGATTTAGAAACTGTGTACAGTTATTTAAGGAACGAAGAGCTCATGAAATTCTATGAAGTTACTGTGCTCCACAAGCCTGAGTTACAAAGTATATGGTAGTTGTGCAGTGTCATATCCGTTTTTAATGTATGTTCGTGCTTATCATATTTCGCCGCCCCGCAGCACGAGGAAAATATGTAAACCGGAAAAATGTTGCACTGTAAGTGCACTTTGTGATGACGTACTCGTGTTGCACAATGCACAAATCATGCACTGTCATGCAATGTAAAAAAATCATACACTGTAAGTGTACTCGTGATGTATCCGTACAATGCACAAACCATGCACTGTAAGTGTACTCGTGATGTAGACTGTACAAATCGTACACTGTCAGTGCACTCGTGAGGTATTCGTACAATGCACAAATCATGCACTGTTAATACAATGCACAATTTATGCATTTTAAGAGTACTTTGCACAAATCATGCACTGCAAGTTAAGTTCGTTTGAATGAAAGATTTGAACTATTTGAAACTATAAAGGAAAGCTAGATAGCGTTTTCGCTTTTCAGTCAGTATACGATGTCACAGACATGGTGTTTTATTTTCTTTTTCCAAGACAATAGGTTGTGCTGAAGCATGAGCCTTTCGAACTATCAACATCTAATTAAATTTTAGCACGTAATTCACGTATTTCTCCACGTACAATGTGGTGAAAGTAACCAAAATCCCTGCGTATCTTTCCGCAGCTTGTATCTAAGATAATATTTTTTATTTAATTGGATTGTTAACACTCTATTTATCATTAAGAGAGAACAAAGGAACGCATTCCGGTTTTTACAGGTCAAATAGTTCTAACAGATGTTAAGTATATTCATACGCGGGGATTATTTTTTTCCTCCTCTTTAATGTAGGTTTTTGTTTTTTTAAGATTTAAAATCTGCAGCAGGTGTTAAAGCTAAAAACCTGTTGAAACAAAATGAAATTTAAGAACACACGCAAATTTATCAATCTTTTTTGTCAAATTCAAACACTCATATTGTCTTTAAGCGTGAAATGAAGAAAAATGATTAATATTTTTACAGCAGATTTGACCTACGTTGGATTATTAGATTTAAAGTATTATAATCTAGTTCGCATACCAGAGACCAAGCTTAGTTTCTCGGGCAGTTTCCGGTCTATGTCAACAATTTTGAAAGCTAATTTGTTAAAGTATCAGCCAGTCCATGCCAGTTTTCTCATGTTAGAGACAAAACAAGTCAATAAATGTACAAATGCACAATTTAATTTGTACACATTTAAAATTACGTGAACATATTTTACATGTACACTTTAAAAGTGCGGTATAGAATGTAACTCAAAGTCTAACGAATAATATTTGACATATTTGTTATGTGGTCGCAATGCTATAAAAATAAATTTATTCAAATTAAGTACATTGCCTTTTTAAAGATAGACAAATGTATACATATAAGACAAGTTCAAACGTATTTGGTCACAAAATACATTCATGTTCATATAAAAAATATAAACATCACGGTTTTAATATTTTTGGCATGTAAATGTGTAAGTAGCAAAGTGTCATACAATGTAATTTGTTGGGTGGCATTAACAATATAAATGGGGAATGAAAAAAAAAATGAGGGCATTGCTACTACTTAGTTTACAGCTATTATTCCCAAACTTATAAAGTGGGGAGCAAACTGTAATGGGGTGATTCGTTCCTACGTCTGTGGGTACGTCCAGTGATCCTAGTCCTATCAATAACTTGAGACGCAATAGAGTGTGGTTTATGTAATAGGGTAGGCACGTTGCATATGGCCAATGTCAAGGCAACAATAACACGTTGTGACCAATTAATAACTTGAGAAGAAATAGACTTAACTAGGGATTGCCCATGTTGAGACGATGACTTCCATTCATTTTGAGTTTGTTAGGTCAAGGTCACAGTGGCAATTTAAGTGAAATGCTTGTCTTTACCGAGCATTTTTCTCATTCAATGGTTTGTTAAATGCATAAGTTATAAATTCATAATACTACTAGTGATGCTATACCCTAGTTTTTCTATTTTTCTATCACACATTCTTTTCTGTTTCTTGCAAAGACAAACTGTCTACCTTGTCAGCCTTACGCACTTGAAAATAGTTCTAATAGGACTACTCTTATAGAATCATTGCCCTACATTTAAATATTTGTGGTATAAAATTTTCCATTTTTTTCCGAATTCCTTTGTCTTTTTTATCTCTATTTATAAATGTATAGGTTTGTACAAGTTTGAGCTTTTAAACATTTTTTTGTATAAATTTTATTCTCAGGTCGAACAAATTTTACCTCTGAAATGGTATTCATCTTCGATGTCTGTGTCGCAGAAATAACATTTATAAATACAAACGTTCATGTATCCAACTTTTCACAGATCAATGATTCTGATATACAAAGCTTTATTGCCAATTTATTATGCTGTTTTTAGTTTAATTAATTTGTTGACGTATGAAAACATGAAAAAAAGTTACAAAATTATGAGAAAATCGACGTGTAAAACAACTAGTAGCAGAGAATAAAACTAATGAGTGATTTCAGTTTTTCTTTTCTTCTACTAAACCAGCTTTATGTTATATTTAACATCATCATTAATTTTTCGTTCGCTATTAAAACTGCTGAAGCACATCTTGTAAACTTTGTTCCAGACAAGATTGAATAATCTGATCCTTCCTAATTAATTCTCATTGTCAAGCTAAAAACGCTGTAAAACATTGTAAAACGCCAAATTACATGCAGACGACAGCTGCTAATGTAGACAAAATGAAACATAAATTCTAAAAGACAAGGTTGTCGGCGGCATTAATCTTGCATGTTATTGTATGTCTTTACGTATAATTGGCATAATCTATAGCCTGATAAACCAAAACAAATGTTTCCTTATCTGCCAGTTAGATTTACGTTGTCGTGTAAATGTTATAAATTACCATCCTACTGGTGCACCGTTGCGGATCACTACAGTAATCACGTGATAAAATAACGGAACCAGTCACAAAGGTAGTCTGCCTCCATAATTAAACTTGTAGATCAAATAAACAAATAAATTAGTAAAACTATAAACAAAGAACTTCAAAAAACTTATATCTGATTTTAAAACTAAATATAAGCGGTCTTTGCCATTGCAATAGCTACCATATTCCCTTCATTTCTTTCAAAATACCAATGCTTATCATGTTAGATGTAGGAAATATTTCAACAAACTGAAGTTTTGTTACTTCTGAAGGAAATCCTTTTATGTGAATAATGTTGTCTGTCGTTTGATGTTATCGTGTATATGGAAAGCAAAATTATTTGAAAACAAATATGTTACTTCGTAATCATAATTGTATCTATTAACATACATCAAAGTAAAACCAAAACTGTGTATTTAATATCTAAAAGGGTATCGGTTTGAGGTTATAAAGCCCAAGCTCAAACTCAGATCTCAGGCATTTGATTGGTCAGTAACTGGGGCAGAATTTACACTGATTAATGCAAATCCTGAGATTTGAGACATAGCTCAGGAAAAAGCTTTATAACTTTGAGGCCACTGGACACATTTATCAAAATCAACACTTTGTCGCTCACCATTATCAAATAGACATAATTCTAATAATTATGAAGACTCCTTTCTCTTTCTGTTTGAAGTATCTGCTCATCACTATTTGGAAACTTTTATAACTAAATTTTACAAAGTGAATAAAATAGTTTATTATTTCAAAGATATAAAAATTGTTTACTTAGTTTGGGAAACCACATTTGTAAAAAACATATATTAGTTATTTATTCATTGCTTTTATCAAACTGACTTATTGAAGTAGGCGTATGAATACGTGATGAAAATCGCATCATCATACTCTCTTGAAATATATTTCCATCAGTTGGAGAAACGTCTAGGTACAATTTACGAAATGCTTCTGACATGCAAACAATACGAACAAGAACTTCTCTTTACCATAATGCATTTCTGCCATCTACTTTGAGAGATTGGAACTTACTATCAACAGAGGTACAAAACTCAATATCTTTGTCCTCTTTTAAAACGCAAATTAAAGGTAATATAAAAAATGCCCCAAATACTATTACATAGGTGAAAGAAAATGGCAAGTCATGCATACACGGCTCCGAACAGAATGTAGCTCTTTAAACCATCACTTATTCAGAAAAATATCCCCCCCCCCCCTCACCAAATTGTCAATGTGGTCTCCTGGAAAGTTACCACCACTTCTTCTTTGAGTGTCACTTCTATAATGATATCAGACTCAGACTATTTGATGCTGTTTTTAATATCTGTACTATAACACTTCATACCTTACTAAACAGAGACCAGAATCTTAGCCATGACATTAATTCTAAAATTGTTCAAGCAGTTCATGTATATATACGTGAAAGTAATCGATTTTCATGAGCAAATAATTTGCCAACTTGACCTATCCGAATGAATCTTCTTTACCTTCTTTCTAATTCTTTTCAATTATTTATATTCTTTAAAAAAAGATCTTTTGAACAATAGCTAAAATCTTCGATTTTTTTTTCTTTTCAAATATGCTAAAATTAACTTCATTGTTTCAAACAATATTGCAAACACTGTCATAATTTAATCGCAGGGGCATACGAGGCATTATCAAAGAGACATAATTCTGATATGAAGGTTCCCTTCGGTATCGGCTCATCACTATAACTAAATTTTTACAAAGTGAATAAAATAGTTTCTTTCAAATATATTTTTTACTTTCTCTACATACGCTTAGCTATTTGTAATTAATTGTTTATTGCATGTGTCACTTTCCAAAGACTAATAATAATAATAATAAGGTAAAAAAATAGCGTTAGATCATTTACATGTTGTTTCAGTTATTTGTAATACTTAGTTGGGGAAACCGCATTTGTAAAAACATGTATTAGTTATTTATTCGTTGCTTTTAACAAACTGACTTATGGAAGTAGGCGTATGAATACATATCACGTGAAAATCGCATCATCATACCCTCGTGACTCTTTATCATTCTGTGTATTTTTTATTATTATTATTTTGTTCATTTAATTTTTTTTTTGATGATATTATTTATTCTTCCTGATCTCATTAGATATACTTTTAATTGTTAGTTTGTTTAGTAAAATATAATCTTAGTCAATGCCCTACAATTTTTAAAGACAAACAGTTTGAAAGAGTCTCGTCCACACTTGTCACTGCATTTTTATCATTTAAAATATTTCGGAAGAGACATGTTATTTTTACATAATAATTTTGAAAGATAATCTTTATCAGTCAGAGTGAAAAAAAGATCTTTAGCCCGTGTAGTTAAACCGGCTTTTTAGAAATAGTACAGAAAAGCATTAATTTTCTCCTTTTTTTCTCCTGCGTCTAACAAATTGATATTACCTGTGAAAGCAAGCTTTTTTTTCTGTGGACAGTTTGGTAAAAACAAAAAACAAACAAGAAACACTTACAACGTGTTTATAATTTAACTCCAAATGTGAAGCGCATTTCATTCTATAAAAATGAATGGAACAAGTTTATGTCTTTTCGCGGTATAATTTTCCTCCAACTGGTTCTCATGAAGGCATATGAATAGTGCACTTTAGTTGTACTATATGAATAATGATATTAAAAAAAGATTCGTCAGTCTAGCCACATGTATCTTTTTCCGATTCTCCGATGTTAGTTCTATCAAATATATTTTAATCTATTTATAGATAGCTAAGGAGATGACTATGGTGGTAGGAAATTTACTTGATGCCAACGAAAGTGTCATGATCGAGAGCAACTTTAGAAATCATTCCAGTGAACGGTAGGTTATCTGTATCATTTACAGTACTTTATTTGTATAAATTTGAATAACATACAGTCCATTACTATATGTTTATCAAAATACTAAAATTAAACAGTTGGCGGTATAAAGTTTTGTCTGACCATATAAGATGCACATGTATTTGTTTTTCATTTCCTTTATATTTACTATCAAGTTTCGGTTGCCCATATCTTCCACGACCCGAGTTTGTTTGGTTTTTTTTGTTTGCTTGTTTTTTTGTTTTTTTTTTGGTAGTGCATGATATAGCTCTTTCCAGATTCCAGACGCGACCTTTGTTCTTTTAGTTCGTTGATGAATACAGATACATGTATAGCTAACTAGGGTTTTTAAGGTCTCACAGAAAGAGCCCTAGCGTTATAAATGGAGGAGCGGGGTATCGAATCTGCGGTCCCTGGTTTGATAATCGAGCGTTATAAACAAGATATGTAACCGTCATAGCCGCTAGCGTTCAAAGAAATAACGAGCATTCAGAGTAATAAATTCTGATATTCTAAAAATGCGGAAATTCATCCTGAATATTAAGAAAAAAGGAGAATGTGAAAAAAATAATAGAGAAGGTTTATCTAGCCTGTTTATTAGTCGCTCGTTCTGCACCATCTTTTTTATTTATTGCCCTGCTGGGTGACTTAACGATGTTCTGTGTAGCCGGGTAGTGTCTGGGCTGCGTTAAGTGAATGTCGCACTCCATTGTTGATCTTTTTTTATATATTTTTGATGTTCCTTTACACAGCTAAAACATTTCATTTTATTGCCTTTTGTATGCCTAATGGGGGTTTTTATGTCAAAAGAAGTTGTTCATTTTAGTGTTAAGCAATTCAAGGTATCTTAACAACTTTTTTTAATCGTGTCTTTAATGAATTGTTGAGATGTCGGCTGGATTTTGCCTTTTCACCGTCCAACATCAGGCATCGGACGCCGTTTTTCACTTTAAATTCGAGATGTCCATCGATGCATTATAGCATTATCAGCCGTTATAACTAAATCAAAGGAATTATGCCGCGTGGTTCCTTTGAATTACTTTTTCACTTGAAATAATTTTTACCCATGGAAGCATTTTATCAAACAATGATAATGGATTAGCAGGGTAAAACACCTTGAGTTGGCAATAATGATTGACGCAGATCATTGCTTTGTGTGATTTTCAGATGGTAATTTTCCCAAGAGTAATTGTTTTCCAATTATATAATAAAACTTGTCTGATTAATCTACAATAAAACTGTCCATATTTGACAATTATTCACAATATTCAATATTTACACGCACACACACCGATTCATTTCGAATAATGTAAATGTTGTTGTTTTTTATCTTTTCGTAAAAACATATTTTCTATCTATATTTTTTCTACAAGACTACTGCGTGTTGATTTACAATTTGTTTGGCCGTATGAACGTTATATTTTATGATTAAAACTTATTTACATTTATTAGGTTACTTTCGCTGCTTGAAGAGTATTCAAAAAGGGTGAATACCACAAGTGAAATCGTCATAGAAACAGAAAACATCAATTTACAAGTAGTAAATCACACCCTGCCGGATACAAGCTACAGTTATCAACCCAAGTTAGAACAAAACAGTGTCGTACAGAAGGTATATATCAATGTTTAACATTCGTACCAATTTGGTTCTTCAGAATATAATTTATACATTATATTGAGTATATCTACGCAACTATTTTGTATAATATTGGTATCAGATTTTTGAAGATCAGTATACTTTTGTTTGTTTGGTTGTTTGGTTTAACGGAGCACAATAATAATAGGTCATATGGCACCAAAACAAGAACACCAGGGGTGTACCACCTCACTTGCTGGAGCTAGGAGTTGCATAGATTCCAGGTTATTAGAACCTATTTAGACGTCTCTTACGATCACACAGGGATAAACGGTCGCTGCAATTCTTATGCCTCAATCATAAGGAGTATACCTTTGTAGACTATTCTCAGCTAAAGCGATATATCAAATGGCTATTGTAAAGCTTTACTGGTGATACGATGTTCACCAATGTCAAATAGGTTCCGACAATAAAAGCTCCCATCTTAATCCAGCTAACTTTAATGTTTTCCTTACATGAAATAATCCTCGTAATAGTTGACGTGTGGAGCAGGTAATCCAAAGGAAAACTTCCCCTCACTCCTCCTTTACCTCCTTTACAGAGTTTGCCATAAAAATAGATGGACCTCTTAACTGAATCAATACATGAAGATGTCAGGTGTATTTCTAAACTCCGATAAAGGTACAGAATAATAGGTATCAAAATCTAAATATAAACTGAGATTTCATTTTTAAACGGTTTGCATAAATTTATCATTTCATCATCATTTTCTATCAAATAGGGTGGAATCGACCTAAAACTGCCGGCAGAAGCGCTGACGTCATCAGATGGACAGGACTTTTCGCGTATCCGGTTGATGTCCTTCCGGTCGTCGTCCTTTTTTATCCCCGAAGACGCTCCACCACCGGAAGTAGTTATGAAGCAATGGGTTGTAAGTGCTGTGGTACACGGCCGGAAACTTGAAAATCTCACTACACCAGTTGAGATAACAGTCAAAAATATAGAGGTAGGATTATATGAATAAAACAAATACATGTAGATTATAATTTTTTGTTGTCTACATACATGTATGTATTTTTTTTTCAATTTTCCGAGAGAAATTTTTATCATTGTTTTAGCAACAAAAATCTTATTCATACATGTGATCGGCATCCTTCTGCATAAATCTTGCGTCTCTCTATTGTTTTTCGAAACGTTTTAGTTTTTAATTAGACTACCTTTAGATAATTATACAGAAATTTATATCATCTGTAAAAATTATGTTTGATTCCAGGACGGTGCCAATCATTCGTGCGCTTATTGGAACGTTGAAAGTAAGTATGACCTATCCTTCGCTAGTTTTCTTTTTCAATTAGCCTTTATCATCGTCTCACGCCAAAGACTTTTTTATGTTTGGCGTGATATGTGTAGCTTTTTCTGATGTATTGTTTGGTTTCATAAATAAAGATCTTAATGTTATTAACAGTAAAAAAATGATATCCGAGGATTTTATTAGTTCATAAAATTGGAATGAATCAACCTTAGACAGAAATTGAATTTATTGTTGTTATTATTATTGATGTTGTTATTGTTATTATCAACAGTCCTGTATTTTTCAACACAGTTATCGCTATGAACTAGCAGGAAGTCTTCTTTTCAAACGTATATTATTTTTACACTTTACACTCTCAGCATTCCCAATCATCTTTTTCATTATGTCATCAGTTGTAATATTAGATATGAATATTTTACCTGAGATATTCATGTAAACATAATTAAAACAAATACAATTCATACAGGAATTATTCGTGAAATTTGGTGACCATCTTGGAAAAATAGTACATTCCACTAAATTCGTTAACTAAATTTTCAATTTCATACTTTAACTGTATTGCAAGTTATAAATTGTGCATATGCCAAACAAATGATAAATAGAAATGACAAATATTTTAAATAATTCAGTTTCTACGTTTGTCATAAAATCGGGTAACGAGATGGATGTAAAGGAAACGGGTACAAGACATATGAGCCGTGTCACGACAAAACCAACATTGTGGGTTTGCGACCAGCATTAATCCAGACCAGCCTGCGTATCCGCGCAGTCTGATCAGGATCCACGCTGTTCGCTATCAGTTTCTTTAATTGTTATAGGGTCTGTAAGCGAACAGAATGGATCCTGATCAGGCTGCGCGGATGCGCAGGCTGGTCTGGATCCATGCTGGTCGCAAACCCATTATGTTGGTTTTGTCGTGACGCGGCTCATATAATTTAGAGTTATACAGGGTCAGTTTGTAAATTGTCAAGTATTGAACAAATTTGTGGAATTGAATTATCATATCCCATTGTTTTTGTAATGCAACTCTATTGTTTCAGATCGTACATGGTCAGACGATGGTGTAGTAACAGTGGAGAGAGGGGCCAACTATACTAAGTGTTTATCGTACCATTTGACAAGTTTCGCAATCTTACTTGTAAGTGAATCATACATGTTTCCAATTCCAATCATTATAGCGTTTGGAGAATATAAAGTTACCCATTTCTTGCAAATTTTAGGTACATGTAATATGCATATTTTTAGAAACAATGGTATTATTTAATTTTATAGGACCTTGGTGCTTCTAATAGATCTATATGTTGTTTTATAGCTGTCAAATATTCTTTAAGTCTCTGCCTTTTCGAAGAAATAAAGGGATATAGAAATAGGCTCCGTACGTACGTCCGCCCATCCTTTTTTGTCTGTTTGTCTATCCGTACGGACTGACGTGACATAACGGGATAAATATCCGTTTTCATTCCATAAAATTTGTACTTTGGTGTGAACACCAATGAAAAAAAACATAACGTCAACCCATGAAGAACGTCCGTCCATCATTTCTTATTGTAATGTATTTCTATTGACACTTTTTATTTCTACAATGAATTCGTTGTTGCAGATTGGCACCTAAAAGTTTTGACTGCCTCGTGTAAAACTTCCCTTAGGTGGGGACGTTGGTAACTGTGTTTACACCAGTCTTGGATGGTATACAACTTGCGATGTAATATTATATTTTTGTTTTCTGTCAAAAATATTTCAGGATCCTAGTCCTGACCACGATCTTTCTGAGAAACACGAGCAAATATTGACCTTCATTTCGTACATTGGTTGTGGTATTTCAATGCTAGGACTCCTTCTGACCCTCATCACTTACTCTATATTCCGGTAAGTAGGCCCTTGTCACTTTATCAAGTGGTATCTATACATTAATACACGTTCTTTATCTTACTTTATTTATATATCCTGGGATCGGGCATTTAGTTTTATATGTATGATAATATTGAAGTATCATTTGTTAAATCTCTATTATTATCTAGTAAACCTTAACGTTTTTGCCACCTTAAATGTTTTGCTTATTAATTCCTTTACAATATAATAGCTTTACCATACAATCTAGCAAAATGTAAATGTGCAATTGTTTTGCAAAATGTGAAACCCTCATTGAGTAATAGAACCAATAAGAGTTCAGTTTCCAAATGATTGGTTTTTATTATCAGCCCTCGGTCTGCTTCAATGTCGAGGTGAGTTTTTGTAACTTTTCCTTTGTTTTGCAAATGTGGAAATGTTTGGCCTTCTTTTAGTTCATTGAATGTACCAATTTGTTCTAAGCTGTTTGTTTGCGTTTTTGTTTCGAAACTGTTTTGCTTTCTAACGAATGGCATTCAATATAATAAAGTGACTATTTGTAGCGGTTATGCATGATATGACCCAAAAGGTAATATATAAAAAATCTAGAGGTCTAATCAGACTCGTATTTTAATTGTCTGGATATTCTATAGTAAAACTGTGAGACTGTCACATCAACCAAATGCACACAAAAGAAAGAAAGAAAACATACCGTTAGTTTCAGCAGTCTCGACGTAAATGCGAATGATTTTCGAGTCTGATTTATTGTTAAAGTGAATGATTCTCTGGTGGAACAAAGATTGATTTATAGTTATTTTGTTTGGAACTTGGTCTGAGAATTTGAACCATAACTGATTGTAACTGAATTTGTTATCAATAAGTGCATTTCCAGAGTTACTCTGATACTCGTGTACATAGCATCTTAGCGTACACATACCTCTATAATTAATATGATTACACTCTAACAATATAGTAATATTTTCTATTATTGTTGCATTAAAGATTTAGAAATTGAAAGCGTTTAGTTAATTATTTTGCAGTTAACACGTTGTTCTGTTGCAATATTATCATTTCGTTTCATATAACGTTTCATTTTTTACACATATTTTTACTTTGCAATGTTTTCCTTTTTAGTTATACCATATTTAGCATGGACATAGTATAACAACAAGCATGAGTTTCAGTTTGGTTTGCATAAACGAAAACAAATATTTAAATTTTGTAATTTTATGTTTTACAACATATATATAGGTGTTTAATGTTAAGAAATGAAAATGCACACACTGTAAAGAGTATGCTTCGTAAAATATATAGATTCTAAATCTAAGTGCTCGATTATGGTGAGACAAGAGCTGAACTTACTGATTTCAAAGTGTAACAATTAACAATTTCGCTTTCAGATGTCTAAACCGTGAAAAGTCTGGCAAGATACTGATGAACCTCTGTGCTTCAATGTTACTCCTCAACGCCGTCTTCTTTCTCGGCTCCGAGACCACTCTGTCACTATCAGGAGATGGCATGTGTAAGGCGGTCGCCATCTTGCTTCACTACTTCCTGTTGACAACGCTCACCTGGATGCTTGTCGAGGCAATCAATATGTACCAAGCGCTCATTACCGTCTTCACAAAATATTCAGGATTCTTTATGCTAAAAAGATGTATATTTGCATGGGGTAAGATATATGGAAAAATATAAACAAATGTATAATTCATGGCCACATGTTGACATGTTAGTAACATATATCTTGTCATCGACTGTTGTAAATCATTGCAAACATATATCTATCTTAAATTCCAGCAAATAATAGAGGCAATGTTATATGCTTATTTCTGGGTCCGATGTTTTAAAGAAATTTATTGAGCTAAAACTCAGATTTCGGGCATTGGATTGGATTGGTGGTAAAACCGGTATATAATGTACACTGACCAATGAAAATCTTGATATTTAAGACAGAGCTCTGAAAGAAAGTTGTATAACCTCGAGCCCTGTCTGCAACTTTGTGCAGTCTCGCAATATTATATGTACTACAACTTGTTAATAAACATGTCTATAATCAAAGCAAGCAAATTCCAAAGATGAAATGAAACTGATTGGGAAAAAAACTTTGATAAAAGAATATCCAACCATTATTTTAGATGAAACATGTACAATCATTATTATAAGCTCTACAATAAAACGGATCTTAATGTAGCGTCACATTGGGGACATATTAGTTAATGACGTACAGTGTAACTTTTATATTTTCGTATTACAGGGGCACCAGCAGTGATTGTGATTGCAACAGTTGCTATTAGTGTCGATAATTATAAAACGACTACAGAATTGTAAGCATTCATAATGTTTTAAACAATTTACAACAACCAAAAACAATTAAATTTGTATGTACAAATACTAAGATACAAACGATACGTTAACATACATGAATATTATTTCGTTAAATCGTACATTTTTTATATTCATATACCACCCTTGTTACATTTTGTGAAATTATTACATATTAGATATCGTAAACATAAGAAGTTAAATAACAATTTTTATATGCCTCCTCTTAACATTTGTATTATCACTGTTTTACAGGTGTTTCTTATCACAAGGCAATCCTCTGGCTTTCTACATTGCCCTTCTTGGACCAGCTTGTCTTATCCTGCTTGTCAATTTTGCTGTTTTTATCATGGTATCCCGCGTCATCCTCAAACCCAAATTCCATGGACAAGTCGGAAAAAACGCGTCTGATTCAGTAACACCAGCGCAGATACGTGGTGCTTTCACTGTCATGACGCTTCTTGGTGTCACGTGGGTCTTTGGACCTTTTGCCATAAATGAGGCAAAGGTTGTCGTAAACTATATTTTTACTATACTTAACTCTTTACAAGGATTTTTAATCTTTGTGTTCCGGTGTTGCTTTAATCCGGAGGTTAGAATGGCGTGGGTAATGTTGATAAAAACGGGTAAATTCAAGCGCAGGAAGGGTCCAGCTACCGCTTACACTTCTGACTCTACGTCCTCTAAAAGTGAAAGCAAACTTAATGGAAGTGTTAATGATACTATGAAATCTAATATGTATAATAGTCTTGGAAAGCAGCGAAACGTGTTAAACAATGACAAAAACCTTATTTCCAAGAACACCAATATGCAAGCCAAAACATCTAACGATCTCCACGGTTACTATGACGACCCAAGTCATCGAGGTCGCGAGAGAAGAAGTGGAAGTTCAGATAGCACAAGATTGTATGGGAGAAATTATGACAATTATGATCGGAACGGTTACCGCAGTAACGGAAACCAATGTAGACGCTCGAGCGACCAATCCGCGCCTATAACGACAATTTACACAGGACAGTATAACGGAGTGAAACGACATTCAGGGTATATGTCAAATCAAGACGAATTTACCAGACTTTGAAAAGTATGAACATAAAGTACAGCATTTGTACATATACAGTAACAATATTTCATGTCCCGAGAGATATAAGTTCAGGCGATCTTGACTAATAAATAGGCCAGTGCTCAGAGATCGACTTTGTAAAGACGCTGTATTGTGACATCAAATTTGAATGATTAGACTAAGATAAAAAGTATACATACATTCAAGAAGCGGCACTAAGATCAATGTTATCTGTTAAATATTAACTGATCATTGCAATGTGATTGTTCAACTAAAATATATGTATAAAGTAATTCTTGCTAGTAAATGAATGTATGAAGAAGTTCAGGATATATCTGTTTGTAAACATGAAATATTTGAAAGACCATGTTGCAAACAACTGGTAAATTTTGTGAAGTAAAGCACACCGAAAGCAAGATATGAAATGCACTTATTATTCATTCATTTTTCCAAATCATTGAATGAATGTTAAAATAGCGCGTGCAGGAATAATTTGATATTAATTAGTTATTTGTTACATTAATCTGTTGATACGACAAGCTTGTAAAAAACTTTACTGATTGTTTAATACATGGTATGTTGGTGTTGCGAGCTGATTATTATTGTTTCTGTTTGACCAAGTTATATTTGTAGAAAAAAACGACTAATATAGGAGGAACTATAGAAAAAGGAGTTTATGATGCTGATTTTGTAATCTTGTTGTTTATATTAACAAAATCTTTATCTTAAATTTTTTACATGTTGTTTTGTATGTTGTATAAATGATTCATGTTAAGAAAGGCCACTATATGTGATGAATGAGATGTTATTTAAATGTTCTTACGCCCGATTTAACCAGATAGATGCGTTGATAGTTTTTCCGAAGGCATGTTGATATTTCTGTGGTCAAGAAAGGTGCGACATGTTAGAGGGCGTTCGGTGTAAACTGAAAATTTTGAGAGTAGTGATATTTTGTTGAAAATTTTGTAAAAAAAAATGTTATTTAACAGATTCACATCCATTTTTTCACAGTATTACATGTACGTATAATACCATATTGCTTAAGATTATGTACTGTGTATCCAAATATGTGACGTTTTGTAGATGATGATAATCACTCTTATTCGAGTTTGTATGACTTTTAAAATGGGTTAATGAGTACGAAAATGTGACATTTTTCGTCTAAATACAGTTATAATTGCTATTATCATTATTATTATTAGATAGTCGAACTTTCACCGAAGTAAACACTTCAAATGATAAATGAACAAATAAAAATTTATTCTTCTGTCGGACTTTGTATCTCATTCTTAGTGTGGCAATATTCAATAGGGCAAAGAAAAGTGACACAGGAACCATCTGTTTACAGTTTAGAAAAGCTAAAATATTATTAAATAATGACACGAACTTTTGATGTGTAAAACTGAAGTTTGTGAACTATTTCTGGTCAGGTAAAATTCTTACGACAGAAGATACTGATTTACTTTTACTTAAGTTACTCATATTCAAACCCGTGTATTGCCCAAACACGTTTGTACGTTTAAGTATTGTCATTCATTTTAATTGTAATATGTTTATTATTTATGTTTGTACATGTGGTATTAAAATAAAATATAAAAGTATACCTTAGACATGTGCTGTCCTACTTGTCTTTCCCCATGCCAAATGCAAAAAAACGACAACTAAATCACGTATGGATCAAGATTTTAAGAGTTTCTTTTTTATTATATTGTACGATCATCGGTAATAATATTTGACAACTCAAATTGATCTATTATACGTATATTTTTTAAATTACTTTTTTTAACTGTGAAAATGTCACTAGCCGCATTGAAATATAATTCATTTCTTTTATGTTATATCTAATTTCAACTCTAAGCAGGGTAATCGCTTGGGCAGTATATCATTTTGGAGTTCTTTTTCAATTAAATGAAAGTTGCACATTTTTTTTATTTCAATGACAATTCAATATAATGTTACAATTTAGCTTTATTCTTTCCGTGTTACTGTTTATAAGTTTAAATGAAAAATAGGCCATCAAAGACAAAACGCAACAATTTGTGTTATGCGCACGCGTACGGTGGTGTCAACATATGGTCATAGAATACGAGACTGGTTCTATTTTTAGATCGGGGCAGTGAATATCATACTTCTCCCACTGATTATGATATATAATTTGTTCTATCGACTACTATTTGGACCAGTTAGATTGCAGATGTTTTAGAGGCAATATTCTCACAGAGAACAGAGACAAAATACATAATATTTAGCAGGTTTTATTTCATAATTTCTCGTCGACGATTCAGAAAAAGTTGATCTTCAGCCCTTCCGGTTCCATATCTTATAACTGGGTAGTCATTTTTAAATGTAATTTGAAAATACTTTATACTAGTACATATATAAAGAAATAAGGCTAACCAGAGTCATCCTAAGTTATATTTTACATCTAGTGTGTTATTGAAGTTCAATTAAACTCAGCATGTATAATAAGGAAAAGAAGCTCATAAAATGCTAACATATCCAGTTGTGCATGATTGAGTTATGGCCCTTCCAATTTAAAGAAGCATCATCTAAGACAAACTAGCCTCTGTCTGTTAAATGTAGCGCCGATATATGTCCAAACGTCGAAAAATGTCCAAACGACGATAAATGTCCAAAAATTGACGATAAATGTCTCAATCGCCGATAAATGTCCAAAACTCCTTTAACGATAAATGTCCAAAAATTAACGAAAAATGTCGCAACAAATTAGGTGCTCATAAATGTCCAAATCGGTTAACGATAAATGTCTCAACTTTTCATATGTTAATTTGTAATTTATTGTATTGGATACTGTAACAGTCTATCCAACTAACCCGTGATTTTACCCTCTGGTTTACCCCCGACGTAAAATGTATGATACATTATTGTGCATGACCAGTTGCAGATCCGGATGGGGCGCGGGGGTATGTGCCTTCTTAACTCACCGACGCAATACGTTTTAGCATTGTTTGTGTTCTTCAATATTTTTGTGCCCCATATAGCGTTGCCATTGTCCGTCCGAGTGTCTAAGTGTCCGTCCCGAAAGTTTGTGAATGGTATAGGGGCGTGGACAGAGTTGCATATTCCTTTACTGTCAAGTGGTCAAAAGTTAAGAAAAAATATGCAACTCTATCTGGCAAACAAAGCAGTTAACCTGTATAAACCATGTGAGCTAATCAAGGGGTTAACTGCATTAACAGTTTAAAATCTGACCTACTGATTCAACAGCGAACAGTGCAGACCTTGACAGGATGACGCATTTGCTTGTCGGGGGATATGGTTCGACAATGGTCGTTTTAAGCATATACGCAACACGTGTTAAATGGGTTTTGTGACTTTTCTCTTAAGTGCTGCGAAGACGGTCTATCATGCTACATTGATTTAAGACATTTGTATTTGATTATTACTCATTCGCGCGTGGTGGACTGAACGCCACTGCGGGGCCACCGCCTTACAAATACAGAGTTTTGAAAGGCTACTTACATGTGAGGGTATTCGCTATTAAACACCAGTAATTGGTAGTTAAGGTTTTTGTATGTCCCTACAGTGTGGCACTTTCAAGATCAACCTACATGGTTGTTATACATGAATATAATGTATATATATAATCAAGTAAATGTTCAACTAAATAAGGGGAAGTAACTGCTATATTACCATTTTACAGCTTCTGATTGGCTATAATTATTTCGTGGGAACAAGATATTATCTCGTGGGAACAAGATAATATTTCGTGGGAACAGATAATATCTCGTGGGAACAAGATAAATAACTTGTGGGAACAAGATAATATCTCGTGTGAACAAGATAAATAAAGACATCCATGTGTCACATCTGTGCCACCGTAATAGACACTTGACGTAATAGTATGTTTTCTTGCTGTGCTTGTTGGATACAAACATGTACATTTAAAAATACTTATATGTCAAATATTAACTTAACAATATTATATATGTAACACATGGCTGTCATTTTGCATTATGCTAACTGGTTACTAAAGCAATTATCGTTTTTATCAATACAGAGTTATGTAAGAGTTATGTACCCCATGGTGATATAAGAAATATTCCCCGGGAAATATATTCTAGGAGGGTACGTTACGATACCGAAATCAACTTGATTTCGGTAAAGTTACCGAAATCAACTTTTCATTACCGAAATCAACTCGTAAAAACCAAACTAGTTAAAATATTGCTATTATTTCTTCATTATTTGATGAAAAATAGTGAAATAGACTTTCAGTTAAAAAATCTATTGAAAATATTATATTTTAATGATGTTATTAACAAAAATGTAATTATTGAGTTACTTCCCTTTGTTCTAAACAACTCGTTATATGTGTTTAGCATTACCGAAATCAACTCGTAAAAACCAACTTAGTTAAAATATTGCTATTATTTCATCATTATTTGATGAAAAATAGTGAAATAGACTTTCAGTTAAAAAATCTATTGAAAATATTTTATTTTAATGAAGTTATTAACAAAAATGTAATTATTGAGTTACTTCCCTTTGTTCTAAACAACTCGTTATGTGTTTAGCATTACCGAAATCAACTCGTAAAAACCACTTTAGTTAAGATATTGCTATTATTTCTTCATTATTTGATAAAAAATAGTGAAATAGACTTTCAGTTAAAAAATCTATTGAAAACATTTTATTTCAATGATGTTATTACCACAAATGTAATTATTCAGTTACTAGCCTTTGTTCTAAACAACCCGTTATGTGTTTAGCATTACCGAAATCAGCGGTGAAGTTTAAATTATGTATATAATTAGTAGATAGTAGATTAGATAACTCTAGTAGAGCTCTATTTTATAGACATATTTCTGTTTTTAAGTTTCAACCATATCTAAATATTATCAATCTTGAACGGTTTTGTAAAGATCTCACTAGGTTAAGAGTATCATCTCATAGATTGCACATAGACTCAGGTAGATGGACTAAACCAAATAGTACACCTTTAAATGATAGAAAATGTTTTTCATGTAATGTCTTAGAAGACTAATACCATTTCATATTAGAATGCAATGTATATAATGATTTAAGAAAAAGTCTGCAGACATTTTCACAAAAAATCTTACGACAATTTTTTATCGTAAGAGAAATCTTATGATAAATCTCCTTTTCACAAAAAATCTTAAGAAAATCTTAAGTGCAAAATCTGTCGTAACTTTACGATAGGTCTTCCCCGCTCGTAAGTGTAATTTTTTCTTTCTTAAGGGTAAAATATCACATATCTGTTACCTAAACTCAATAAAAACAAACAAAAACTTGGAGGACAAATATATATTAAGCAAACAGTATGCTATAAATTACACAAATTGAGGTTTAATTATTTTTAAATATAAACATTTGTGACGTCATGACTTGATGACGTCACGATGGAGAGGGTTATGTAGTATTATTGAAAACTAATAATTTGTACATTTGGGGAGTTCGATTTCATTGCCAGCATGTACTAGTGGTACCTTTTTATTTATTAATAACAACGTAGACTTATTTATTAATAACAATGAAGACCTTCTTTCTGAATCTTTTAGATATTTATAATTATCTTCAATCAAGATATTGAATTATATCAGTTTGAATCATTATTTTTTTCTTATTGAAATTTTATTGTGTTCAATAGATATTTCAAGCTCTTTATTACTTGATTTTAAAACCGGAATTAAATATAGAGCATGCACATCAATATCAAATGAACGTTGCTATGGATGTTTTTTTCGTAAGATTTATCGTAAGTGAATTTTAATTTATCTTAAGATAAAATTTTAACTTACGGGTGGCTTTGTGAAAATGACTTAAGATTTAACTTACGATTATCGTAAGTCAAAAACTTAAGATAAATTGTAAGATTTTTTGTGAAAATGTCTGCTGATTCCGCCATATTAGCATGTTATATATCTGCACGTGATTGTCGTGCATAACAATTTTCTAAATAAAATCGTATTTTTAAAAAGCTATGATCGGACTATTATGGAAAAATAAAATACTCTGTAATATGAGTTAAAGATAATTATAAATTTGTACATGTTTATATTTTATGAAGAAAAATATCCAACTTCAACCGGAAGTTTATGATTTTCTATTATAAATTTGAATACAGATATATAATTAGACTGCTCTAAAAATGTTCCATAAAAATTGTATAATGTATCAGGCAGTAAAATTGGAAATTGGAAAGTTTGTGTCTTTCTTTTAATGAACAGTTTAACTATATATTAACAAATCACTAACATATGTTATGGGGACTCTTTATTATAATATTTTTATATTTTTGTCATTTATTTAAATGTTTAATTACGAAATAAACAGATGTTCATTATAATCTTTTATCTTTTAACATACAATATATGTCAACTGTACCTCCTGTCTTAATTACTTCACACCTTACTTAATACACAGCATGTCATATCGTACAAGTTGCAACATTTCATAATTGAAATTTGTCAGTATAAAGTGTTCCATTTTTTTCATCATATAAATATATACCAGTCATTTCATAAATTTATGCTGTTTACAGATATGAAATTTAAAATGATTTTAAATCGATCTACATAAAATCATTACTTAACACTTTTTCAATAAGTAGAATATGTAGTTAAGT